ACTGAGCAGAAATGAAAATCAAAATGCAATAATTCAGGAAAGATAATAAGGATGTATTTCCTTTGACCTTCAATGTGTTTTGAGTTCTTACCTGAGCTATTTTCCTATAATTATAATTTTTGCGTTTTTCAACTCTTGGCAGACTACCGCTACCCCGAACCAAGAGTTCTAAATTAAATTAAATTGGTAAAATACAAAACTTATACTTGGTAATTGTTTTACTTTTTAAAAAAGTAATTTATTGAATTTATTTTATATATGGGATTCTATTTCTAACAGTAAGGGAGCTGGAAAGTATTGCTTAGTATTGAAGAATTGAACTTGTACCCCTGTTATAAGCTAGTCATATTACATTTCAGAGGACAGGAGATACCATTAAGGGCTTAAAAAGATCCATGGCATGAGTGATTCTGTACAATAATGAACTGGGTCATAACGTGGTCTTTTTATATAACCTGCTGGTCCACAGAATTCTAGCAGATGATTGGCATCAATTCAAAATTAAATAGCATTAAAAAAATAAAATTGCTGTTTTTCTTAAGCATATTCCATCTTTAATTACACAGATGTGCAATTACATACATGTGCATGTATATAATTATATATGTATATATGTATAAGTGTATAATATGTATATAATTACATATGCATATTTATGTATTTTTATCTTCGTCACATCGAATCAGTTGACATTTTTCCGGTTGACCATTCCTTCTTTCTTGAATCTTTCTTTGTTTCTATGATACTCTGGCAGCACATTAAAATTTTTATCAGTTTTTTAAAAATTTCTGTTTCCCAATCTCTTTTATAAGTTGTTTCCCCTACTCCCACCTCTGTCCTTTGCATATTGATATCTCCCAAGATCCTTTTCCGGTTTTATTCTCTTTATCTCATGGCTTAAACGGGAACACACACACACAAAAAGCTGGATCTACAGCATCATTTCCTTGACTGGGCTCAAAACTCATGTATCCAACTGCCACTGGAATGTCCCACAGATGACTGTCAATGTCCCATTCGCAGTTCATCCTTGCATCTTTATCCCCAGTATCAGCGAATGACATGATCATCCACTTTGCTTCCTGTATCCCCAAACCTGGGAATTTTCTTTATGCTCCTGTGCACTTCTTTCTCCAGTCAACTGACACACATACATGCAAAGGATTTCCAAGTCCTTTGGTATTTTGTGTTCTCAAATGCCTCTTCCACAAACACCTCCTAACTAATTTTTTGCCTCCACTCTGATCCCACTCCAGTGTCCTTTTCCTGGGCTTTTCCATGTCTTTATGTCTTTGCATATGTCACCCACCCTACCTAGAAGTCCCTTCGAACCAACTCTTTGCCTAATTCCTACTTAGGTGGCATGCCCTTGGAACTAGAAAATCACCACTGGTAGCCATCATGGTGGTAGTTGATTCCAATGGGAGTTATCGGTGGAGGTTAAGACTTATAGGTTGGGTTTGATGAGTAGCAAGGCACAGGGGTAATCTTCAAATATATTTCCACAAATACTAATCAATTACTAAAGGGGAAATGGTGACCTTATCAGGGAGAAAACTGGCAGATACCAACATGACCAAGGTTAATGTCACAGGTGCCAATAGAGCTGACACTGTGCTCTTGATACAGCAAAGTGTGAAATCAAGTACTGGCTTTGAGGCCATAAAAGCAAGACCTGAATCTGGTCATGAGGAAACATAGAAAATGCCCAGATTAAAGTTCATCCTTTAGAATGTAGGTCCTGTACTCTTTAAACTGTCAAGAACATGAAAGAGAGAGAAAAACTGAGTAATGGTTCGGATTAAAGTAAACTGAAGAGAAATGCAACAGGTGGTTGTAGATGGGATTCCGGACCAGAAAGAAAAAAAAGAGACAATATCAAGTCAGTTGGCAGCATTGAAAGGAGCATGTGAGTTGGATGGGGGT